ACATAGGCATTGAACTGGTTACAGGATTTACTTTGTATGTTAAGATATTCGTATGTTTGTTCAAAGATATCAGAATACACTTTATTTCCTAGAATTCGTTCCACAGCCAAAAAACATACTCCTTAATATATACTGCAGATAATTATAAATTGGCCCTTTAGCTCAGAGACTGGAGAACGGAGGTAGAGGTGGAGACTGGGATACAGGACAAACCCAACTTACTATGACTATGACATGAACTAACATACCTTACTTATTTTTATTTCATTTTTATATTTTATGCATTTTTTTCTATGACTTCGACGTGATATTTACTTCGGACGTCAAGTCGAATATTTGATCAAATTTCACTTGGTATATTGGAAAATTCGAATGTTTAGATGATCGTTAATAGAGCTTCTGCTGTATCCCGGCTTGGTCAAATTTCTGCAGTGAACCACTTCACCGCAGGGGTTCCTCAAGGTTCAGGAGTGGGACCTCTGCTCTTTTCCACATACACATAAAGCAGTGTCACACAAGTACAAGTGTCATGTTGACGGCCTCAGAGTCATCAGTCGTCATGGTGACGGCCCCAGCTGAAGCCCCTGACTTACACAAACAGCTCTGCTCTGTGCTGGTTCAACCGCCAAAAGTTCCCTTTACATTCTGACCTCCTGAGCCAAAACTATAAGAGCCCTGAAAATTATGTTGATAACGTGAGCGCCTGGAGAGATTAAGGAACCCGTCGCTGCTTTTCATTTTTAAATTCAGCCAGAATTGTGCCAACAGGAGCGATATCAAAATATAAAACTTTTGTGGTCTCTTCTAAATTTCGCTCAGCTTTTAACATGAAGTTTCCAGGTAAAAGTTGAAGGATACCTCTGACTCTGAAGGTCACAGCTCAAAATCTTAAAGCTTAAAGGCTTTGATAGTTACATTATCTGAAAGGGGACAAATTTTCCCACGTTTTAAGGTATAATTTTTATATGAAAGTTGAAGGATGTGGAAGTAATCGGAAGGAGTCTGAAAATATTTTGAAGAATGGAACTGGCTGAAACATCTAGAGTGAGTCACATGACCCCTTTGATCTCCCACTCTAAAGTGCCTCCATAGGAATAACATTGTGACATTTTTATGATTTTAAAACTGTTATTTTTCAAAAACCACTGGATGTTTTGAAGGCAAAAGATAACTGGGAATAGCCCAAAGCCCTGAGAAACATTTAAAAGTTTAATGGTGCTTCTACGTTAAAGTAAACTGAAATAGTTAGCGTTGAAGTAGGTCAAACGTTTTTAAGAATTTGAAGGCTCCACCATTAATTTTCAATGAGAGGAAAAAATCAGAAAAAGTTAAATAATTCAAAAAGTTCCAAAGGTTTCAACACCAAAAGAGACAGCCGCAATGTCCAAAAGAAACGGAACAAATGTATACCTTAATTTTTTTAAGAAGTTGAAGTATGTCAAAGTACTTAATCGTCAAAAAGCATGCAGAATAATAATAATAAGAAAAAAACTTTGATGTGGAGGGTATTTTTTCTGCTAATAAAGTGGCAGAGCAAATACATCTTTAACTATTTCTGTTATAATTATCTGCACTGTTTTAAAAGGACGTTTTTAATAGGAAACTATACATCTTTAGATTTTCTTTCAGTTTTTTTAAGGACTATGATGACTTTAATGAATACAGAACATGATGTTATTAAACTACATTTACATACAATGACTGTTCCATACTTACACATTTTATAGATTTTCCTACATGCACCCAGTTCCCGATTCCATTGGGAACTGTTTCACTATTTTCCTAAACATATTTCCTTCTTTTAGACACATGCATGCACCTCACTGCAGCTACAAGTTTAGATCAGGGTTATTAACTCATTGACTGCCAGCCATTTTCAGAACAGAGAGTCCCATACTGCCAGAGTTTTTTTAGCATTTTGACTGATTATTCAAGAACCACAGAATAGTTTGTGCTATGACTATGTAAACACCAAACACACCAAAAGAAAGAGTAGACTCTCTTCTTTCATCAGGAAAAAAAAATTGTTTCTACGTTATTCCGTTCTTCCTCGACTTGCGTCTCACCGGCGACATGTTCTCTCATAGCGAACCGTTACCTTTTTCTAATTTGCCTACAGTCTATGCTCATCTCCCATCAAAAGTGGCACTGCCACCTAGAGGGTCAATTTGTTAGTGCATACTCGGTCTAGAAGCCTAATATTTACGGACAAGCTTTAGCAGATCGTCCCCCAGCCACTCTCATTGAAAAATATAAAAGACGTCTATAGACGTCTTTGGCAGTCAACGGTTGTATTTGAACTGACGTCTATAGACGTCGTTGGCAG